AACAAACATCCACAAAATCAGTCCTTAGTTGCATTTAAATTCATAAATATTAAATTTACTGAATCAAATAATCGACTTAAAGATTTTAAATTTCATAAACGTGACCAAACTGTGTCCGCAGATTCAGAAAAGACACGTTTAAATTAAATCCAGCTTTTACTAATAATCATTATAATTCAGATTTATTCTTAATTACAAAAACATTATTATTTGGTTTTAGTTTGTTTAAACCTAAAACGCGTCTCTCTGATCATTTTAAAGCCCATTTTAAACAGATTCATATAAAAACAGATGGATTGTCACGTGATGGAAAAGCTGCTGTTTGCTTAAAATTACAAAATAAAAGTTGAATAATTATTACAGGATTCATTAAAAGTGTTCAAACGTACAACACAAAGAAACGATTCTTCTCAAAACAACATAACATGTGTTTAAAATCAAGATTTAAAATAAAGAGAGAGACGTCGAGAAGGGAAAAGGGGGCGGGGCATGAGGCAGTGTGGGCGGGGCATGAGGCAGAGTGGGCGGGACAGTGTCTCCGTGGAGGGTTTTTCGGTCAAAGTCGTCGATAAAAATTTTTTTTTCGTTTTTTGGAGATTGAGTCCCCAAATTTGTCAGATTACCGTATTTTTCGGACTATAAATTAGGGTGACCAAACGTCCGTTTTTCCCCCGGACATTTTTTTGCGTCCTGTCCTGAGCGTCCAGGTTTTTTTTTTTTTAATGATGCAAATGTCCGGGTTTTCATGATCTTGCCAATTAATTCAAGATTATATCAAACTTTTGCGCTGCCTACACCACGGACTGAACCAAGACTAAACCAGGACTAACCCAGGACTGAAGAGGAGGACTAATCCAGGATGGAACTAGGACTAAAACAGGACTAAACCGGAACTGAACCAGGACTCAGTGTCAGGACGGGCTCGGAGGTGACGCAGGAGAAAGGACCGGCTCAGCTCCACACCTCACGGAGTTAAACGCTGCAGTCGCCCGATCGCGCTTTACGGACAAACTGCTCGGCGTTTTGTCTCTTAAGTCCAAGATTAGTCCTGGTTTAGACCTGGTTTAGTCCTGACTCACCCGTGTGTAATTACTACCCGCCTGTAATACACAATACGCTTTCATACGCTGTAAAAAAAAAAAAAAAAAAAAAAAAAAAAACAGCATGCAAAATTGCACAAAATGTTATTTTTTTTAAATCAGCGAAACGGCGAGACCACAAATGGCGAACCGCGATATATCGAGGGACGAGTGTAGCTCAATGTCGAGGCCCCACCCCCCACCCCCGGTAAAGTGTCCGGGTTTTCACAAACGGAAATATGGTCACCCTACTATAAGTGTCACTTTTTTTCCTGGTTTGTGTTTTCCGGTGTGACTTCTGTATTAAAATCTGCTCCTGTTCCTCCTGTACCACTGTCACTTCACTCTACTGCGCATGTCTCCTGCAGGAAGAGCCTCCGTCGCGAAATCTGCAGCTGAAAACGGAAATCGAGCCGCAGAAAGAAAAGTTTGGAGTGAGTGAGAAACTTGTGACACCGGGAGGACGAACCGTGAAACCGAAACAGTCCTGTCGGGATTCAGAAAGACCCGGATAATCGTCTCTGTTCACGCTGACGTTTGGAAACACGCGACGACGACTGGGCTCGACCGACTGCGATCAAACCCGCTGAAGTAAACGTGCTCAGCGGTAAAACGAAGTCTGCAGACATGTGTGCCGTTTGGAATCGCCTCGTCTCTTCTAATCAGTCGGGAAATGATGAAAACTGAAGTGTGGTTGGAATCGTCGATGAGCCGAACATAACGGAACTCTACAACGACACGGAGACGGAGAAAACTGCGACATTTTCTCATTTTTCCTACATTTTGTCAGACTTACGACCGCACACAGAGCCCAAAGGAAGTCGTCATCGCGTGTTTCCGAACGTCTTCCTGGTTCGTGACGTCAGCGTGAACGGAGACGATTCTAAACTGGAACCGAAAACGTCCTGTCGGGATTTGAAAGACCCGAATAATTCTAACTGGAACTGATGCTGAGTCTGACGTTACATTTCCTCCAAAAAGTGTGACTTATATGTGTTTTTTTCTTCTTCATTACACATTTTTTGACTGGTGTGTTTTAAACTCTGGAGCGACTTATAGCCCGAAAAATACGGTAAAGTTTTTCATCACGTTCGAGCATTTTGTTGGACCCTGGATGTGTTTTTTGTGAGGGATTAGTGGGTCCTCTGGGTCCATGAATCAGTGTCGGTTCCGTCCTGTAGGGGGCAGCAGGTCAGGGCCTGGAGCGGTGGTTCGGGTCAGTCGGGTCCTGTAGGGGGCGCTGGTCCGTGGCGTTGGGGTTTGCGGCGGGGGTGGCGGGCGGATCGCTGACGGTTGGAGGGTTTGTGTGGTTTCAGACGTGTGGCAGGTTTGAACCAGCAGGGGGCGCTTCAGATATGGTGTGGGTGTCCTTGGCTCGTGACTCGGGTCAAATGCTCCAGGTGACCCGAGTCTCCTGTAGAGGTGTGGCAGGTCGGGGGTCGGGCTCAGTGGGTTAAACGGCTGCAGAGGTGTGGGTGTCCTTGGCTCTGACTTGGGTCAAATGCTCCAGCAGAGGGCAGTACCGAGGTGTGGGTGTCCTCTAGGGGGCAGTACCGAGGTGTGGGTGTCCTCTAGGGGGCAGTACTGAGGTGTGGGTGTCCTCTAGGGGGCAGTACAGAGGTGTGGGTCACCTGTAGGGGGCAGTACAGAGGTGTGGGTCACCTGTAGGGGGCAGTACAGAGGTGTGGGTCACCTGTAGGGGGCAGTACAGAGGTGTGGGTCACCTGTAGGGGGCAGTATCAGGGCTGTGGGTGTCCTTGGCTCTGACTTGGGTCAAATGCTCCTGTAGGGGGCAGTATCAGACGGCTGTAGAGCTGTGGGCGTCCTGTAGGGGGCGCTCTCAGATGGATGCAGGGGTCCAGGTGTCCTGTAGGGGGCAGTAAGTGTTCTGTAGGGGCAGTAGGGGGCGAGTGGCCTGTAGGGGGCAGTGAAGGTCTGGGTGTCCTACAGGAGGCGCTCTCAGACGGCCGCAGACATGTGGGTGTCTTTGGGGCGGACTCGGGGGCAGTAGGGAGCAGTATCAGGGGTCCGGGTGGCCTACAGGGGGCAGTAGAGGACAGTAGAAGTTTGGGTGTCCTGTAGGAGGCGCTCTCAGATGGCGGCAGACGTGTGGGTGGTCTTTGGGGCGCACTCGGGGACAGTAGGTGTCCTGTAGAGATGCGGGTGGCCTGTAGGGGGCACTCTCATGGCAGATGTGTGGGTGTCTTTGGGGCGCACTGGGGAGCAGTAGGTGGTCTTTGGGGTACTCTCAGATGGCGGCAGACGTGTGGGTGTCCTTGGGGTGCACTCGGGGGCAGTAGGTGGTCTTTAGGGGTACTCTCAGATGGCGGCAGACGTGTGGGTGGTCTTTTGGGGTACTCTCAGATGGCGGCAGACGTGTGGGTGGTCTTTTGGGGTACTCTCAGATGGCGGCAGACGTGTGGGTGGTCTTTTGGGTACTCTCAGATGGCGGCAGACGTGTGGGTGGTCTTTTGGGGTACTCTCAGATGGCGGCAGACGTGTGGGTGGTCTTTTGGGGTACTCTCAGATGGCGGCAGACGTGTGGGTGGTCTTTTGGGGTACTCTCAGATGGCGGCAGACGTGTGGGTGGTCTTTTGGGGTACTCTCAGATGGCGGCAGACGGCAGTGTGGGTGGTCTTTTGGGGTACTCTCAGATGGCGGCAGACGTGTGGGTGGTCTTTTGGGGTACTCTCAGATGGCGGCAGACGTGTGGGTGGTCTTTTGGGGTACTCTCAGATGGCGGCAGACGTGTGGGTGTCCTTGGGGCGCACTCGGGCCAGATGTTCCAGTTGACCCGAGTCGGAAACGTCGTAACTCGTTTTGTATTTGGCCAAAATCTTCATGAGGGGGCGGAGCTTCAGCCACCACTGCTCCTTAGGGATACGATGACTACGGAAAGAAGGAGAGAAGGAGGGAGAGAGAGAGAGAGAAGGAGGAATGGAGAGAGAGAGGGGAAGAAGACAAGAGAGAAAGAGGGACAAAGGGAGAGGGGGAGAGAAAGAAAGAGAGAGAGGCAGAGAGAGTGAAGAAGCGAAGAGAGAGAGGGAGAAAGATGTAGAGCGACAGAGAGAGAGAGGGGGGAGAGAAGGAAAGAGGGAAGAAGAGGAGTGACAGAGAGAGAGAGAGAGAGAGAGAGAGGTGAGGTAAGGGAGGAGAGAAAAAAGAAGGAAAAGAGGGAAGTGCAGAGGGAGTGAAGAAGAGGAGAGAGAAAGAGGAGACAAAAGAGAGAGAGAAAACAGGGAAGTGGAGGAGAAGATGTTTTTAGTGAGATGATAAACCAGTTCCTTTTATTTTATTCATTTCAGTTTTAGTGTTTTTGTGTTCAAACAGATTGTTGTGTTTTTGTATTTTTGTGTTTTTATAGTTTTGTGTTTATGTGTTTTTTTGTTTTTATATTTTTTGTGTTTTGTATTTTTGTATTTTTGTGTTTTGTGTTTTTGTATTTTTGTGTTTTATGTTTTTGTATTTTTGTAGTTTTGTGTTTTTGTATTTATGTAGTTTTGTGTTTTTGTATTTTTGTGTTTTTGTATTTTTGTGTTTTGTGTTTTGTGTTTTTATAGTTTTGTGTTTTGTGTTTTTTTGTTTTTGTGTTTTGTATTTTTGTGTTTTCGTATTTTTGTGTTTTTGTGTTTTTTGTGTTTTGTATTTTTGTGTTTTTGTATTTTTGTGTTTTGTAGTTTTGTAGTTTTGTGTTTTTGTGTTTTGTATTTTTGTATTTTTGTGTTTTGTATTTTTGTGTTTTTATATTTTTGTGTTTTTCTTACACAAAGTCTGTTTCTTCCTGCAGGTGGGACAGAGGCTGAAACACCAGAAGCTCTGCGACGCATCCCCAACAAACACGCAGTGTCCTCTGAGTTCGCAAACACACGACCTGAAACACACAAGAGAACACACGACCTGAGGCACACACACGACCTGAGGCACACACACACGACCTGAGACACACACACACGACCTGAGACACACACACACACGACCTGAGACACACACACACACGACCTGAGACACACACACACACCTTGAGACACACACACACACACACACACTGAGACACACACACACACGACCTGAGACACACACACACACCTGAGACACACACACGACCTGAGACACACACACGACCTGAGATACACACACGACCTGAGACACACACACACGACCTGAGACACACACACACGACCTGAAACAGACAAGAGAACACACGACCTGAGGCACACACGACCTGAAACACACACACACGACCTGAGACACACACACACAACCTGAGACACACACATGACCTGAGACACACACACGACCTGAGACACACACACGACCTGAGACACACACATGACCTGAGACACACACACGACCTGAAACAGACAAGAGAACACATGACCTGAGGCACACACAAACGACCTGAGACACACACACAACCTGAGACACACACACGACCTGAGATACACACACGACCTGAGACACACACACACGACCTGAACACAGACACACGACCTGAGACACACACACACGACCTGAGACACACACATGACCTGAGACACACACGCGACCTGAAACAGACAAGAGAACACATGACCTGAGGCACACACAAACGACCTGAGACACACACACAACCTGAGACACACACACGACCTGAGATACACACACACGACCTGAGACACACACACACGACCTGAAACAGACACACGACCTGAGACACACACATGACCTGAGGCTCACCTCCCTTGTAGGACTCGTGCAGACTGCGGGTGATCCACTGCATGGCCTTGGCGGCGATTTTGGTGCTGAAGTTTCTGTCGAACGGAGACGGAGCGCCCCCCTGTGGACACACACGGTGACATCATCAGGTGGTGACTCGAGTGTTTTTTGTTTTTTTTTGTGAGGATCTATTCAGCAACATCGAGCTTTTCTCCATGTTGCAGTAGTTTTGTTTTAGATCAATATTGTGATTTGAGTCATCCGTGTGTCATTCATTCATTTTTCAAAATAAAACCAAAAATAAGAAAACGAAAAAACAACGATTTTCTTCATTATTTGTCTCCAAAACCAAAATCAAAAAACAGATAATTCATCCATCCATCCATTTTCTTCCGCTTATCTGGGGTCAGGTCACGGGGGCATCAGTCTAAGCAGGGACTCCCAGACTTCCTTCACCCCAGACATGTCCTCCAGCTCCTCCGGGGGGACCCCGAGGTGTTCCCAGGCCAGCCCAGAGACATAGTCCCTCCAGTGTGTCCTGGGTCTTCCCCGGGGCCTCCTCCCGGTGGGACATGCCCAGAACGAGGGAGGCGCCCAGGAGGCATCCGGAACAGATGCCCGAGCCTCAACTGGCTCCTCTTGACGTGGAGGAGCAGCGGCTCTACTCCGAGCTCCTCCCGTGTGACTGAGCTCCTCACTCTATCTCTAAGGGAGACGCCCAGCCACCCTGCGGAGGAAACTCATTTCGAGCTCTTGTATCCGCGATCTCGTCCTTTCGGTCTCTACCCAGAGCTCATGACCAGAGGTGAGAGTAGGAACGAAGACTGACCGGTAAATCGAGAGCTTCGCCTTTCGACTCAGCTCCTCTTCACCACAACGGTCCGATACAGCGACCGCATCACTGCAGACGCTGCACCTGTCCACCTGTCAATCTCACGCTCCGTCCTCCCCTCACTCGAGAACAAGACCCTGAGATACTTGAACTCCTCCACTTGAGGCAGAGACTCCCCACCCACCCGCCTGGAGAGGGCAAGATGCCTTTTTCCGGTCGAGAACCACGACCTCGGACTTGGAAGAGCTGATTCTCATCCCAGCCGCTTCACACTCGGCTGCAAACCGCCCCAGTGCTGCAGGTCCTGGTTCGATGAAACCAACAGGACGACATCAGAGATGATCCTGTGGTCCTCAAACCGGCCCCCCTCCGGCCCCTGACTGCGCCTAGAAATTCTGTCCATAAAAACAATGAACAGAACCGGTGACAGGGGCGGCCCTGGCGGAGTCCAACATGCACCGAGAACAGGTCTGACTTACTGTGGCAATGAACACAGCTCCTGCTCCGGTCATACAGGGACTGGACCCCAGACTCCCAGAGCGCCCCCCACAGGACACAGGTAATGATTCTTTTTTTCAGTTTTCAATTTTGTGTTTAAATGAAGAATGGAAAAAATGGATAACGGACTGAACCAGGTCTAAACCAGGACTGAACCAGGACTGAGACCAGGACTGAACCAGGATTAAGACCAGGACTTAGACCGGGACCAGACCAGGACCAAACCGTGACTGAGACCGAGACCAGACCCAGGACTGAGACTGGAACCAGACCCAGGACTGAGACTGGAACCAGACCAGGACCAGATTGGGACCAGACCGGGACTGAGACCAGACCGGGACCAGACCAGGACCAAACCAGGACCATGACCATGACCAGACCAGGACCGAGATCGTAACCAGACCAGGACCAAACTGGGACCAGACCGGGACCAAACCACGACCGCAAGCAGACCAGGACCAGACCAGAACTGAGACTGGAACCAGACCAGGAAACTGAAAATGTTATTGTCCTGGTCGTAGTTGATCCTAAAGATGCCGATACAGACACGACTTTGACCCAAAATCACAACAAATCTGCACTAAAATGCAAAAATAAGGTCAGGGATAGAGATACACTTCTGTTTTCGACTCATTTTGAGGTGATTTTGGAGTGTGGTGGTCTTTCACGTCCTCGTCTAAACTCATGTGCAGAGTTTCAGTGTTGGAGTCTCCAGCTGCTGCAGACACTTTCTCAGGAAAAGTCACGTTTGCAAAATCTAAAAACACAGAACCTTCTTTAATCAGCGAAAACAAAACTGGGTCAAATTCTGCGTCAGCTCAAACGAGTCCCTGAAAGAACCCAGAGACCCAGAGACCACGCTGTGAGAAGCGGAGCACCCACACTCACAGCAGGAGGGTCCCGGGTTCCATCTTCAACCCTAAAGAACAAACAGATCAGATCCTCCAAAGTCCCTCTGCTCCTGACAGAGTTAACCCAGACACTCTGAAGGATCAAGGGTCAAATGCAGAGGACAAAACTCCCGATGGAGACAATAAAGTGTAACTTCACTTTAGATACTGTTGTGCTCCTGAGCAAGACACTTTACCCCCTTTATGAATGTGTTGTGTGAGTAAATGGTGTTGGAGGAGCAGATGGCACATTCTCAGGGTGGTGTATGAAAAAAAAGTCGCCCACAGAGACCCTCACGCTTCAGCGGGTGAGTCGCCCACAGAGACCCTCACGCTTCAGCGGGTGAGTCGCCCACAGAGGACCCTCACGCTTCAGCAGGTGAGGACCAAAGTCGCCCACAGAGACCCTCACGCTTCAGCGGGTGAGGTTCAAAGTCGCCCACAGAGGACCCTCACGCTTCAGCGGGTGAGGTCCAAAGTCGCCCACAGAGACCCTCACGCTTCAGCGGGTGAGTCGCCCACAGAGACCCTCACGCTTCAGCGGGTGAGTCGCCCACAGAGGACCCTCACGCTTCAGCAGGTGAGGACCAAAGTCGCCCACAGAGACCCTCACGCTTCAGCAGGTGAGGACCAAAGTCGCCCACAGAGACCCTCACGCTTCAGCAGGTGAGGACCAAAGTCGCCCACAGAGGACCCTCACGCTTCAGCTGGTGAGTCGCCCACAGAGGACCCTCACGCTTCAGCAGGTGAGGACCAAAGTCGCCCACAGACGACCCTCACACCACTCAAACGTTGGGTTGGATTTAAAATATCAGCAAAGGATCAGAAGAAACAGGAAGGTGAACAACGGAAACAACGGAGAAAACAAATGGAGAAAAACGCCAAGACCCAAAACGAGCAGCTAAACATCTGTACAGTCTGACAAATGAAGGTCAGGCCAGTTACGTCCTGCAGTCCTCCACTCCTCCACCAGGGTGCTCCCTCCTGCTGGGCCACCTATCTAGAAGCTCACACCTGTCACACTGCACCTGCCGCAGGTGAGAGAGGTGGATCCTCTGGAACAACAACAACAACGACAACAACAAAACAACAAAAAACAATAACAACAACAAAAACAATAACAACAACAACAAAAACAATAACAACAATAACAACAACAACAACGACAACAACAAAACAACAACAACAATAACAACAACAATAACAATAACAACAACAACAACAACAGCTGGAGTCAACCAGAGGCACAGCTTTTTTCTCACTGGGCTCCTCTGGGCTGACAGTAGTAGTAGTAGTAGTAGTAGTAGTAGTAGTAGTAGTAGTAGTAGTAGTAGTAGTAGTAGTAGTAGTAGTAGTAGTATTCGTACCTGCTGCATGTGTCCCAGGATGTTCTTGCGACAGTCGAAAACGCCTTTTCCCTCTTCGCTGTACAACTGATACATGAAATCTGTGGTGAAGTTTCCATTACAGTTTTCATTCCTGAAAATACAAACAACACAGACAGACAGGTGAGACAGGTGAGACAGGTGAGACAGGTGAGACAGGTGAGACAGGTGAGACAGGTGAGACAGGTGAGACAGGTGAGACAGGTGAGACAGGTGAGGCAGGTGAGACAGGTGAGACAGGTGAGACAGGTGCGACAGGTGAGACAGGTGAGACAGGTGAGACAGGTGAGACAGGTGAGACAGGTGACAGGTGAGACAGGTGACAGGTGACAGGTGAGACAGGTGAGACAGGTGAGACAGGTGAGACAGGTGAGACAGGTGAGACAGGTGAGGCAGGTGAGACAGGTGAGACAGGTGAGGTGACAGGTGAGACAGGTGAGCAGGTGAGACAGGTGAGGCAGGTGAGGCAGGTGAGGCAGGTGAGACAGGTGAGACAGGTGAGACAGGTGAGACAGGTGAGACAGGTGAGACAGGTGAGGCAGGTGAGGCAGGTGAGGCAGGTGAGACAGGTGAGGGTGAGACAGGTGAGACAGGTGAGACAGGTGAGACAGGTGAGGCAGGTGAGGCAGGTGAGACAGGTGAGAGTGTCAGGTGCAGATTTGTTGACCTGGTTTTTGGTTCATTTCTCTGTAATTCTTGAAACTGACACAAAGTTTACCTTCAGTCCTGGTTTAGTCCTGGTTTAGTCCTGGTTCAGTCCTGGTTTAGTCCTGGTTTAGTCCTTGTTTTAGACCTGATTTAGACCTAGTTTAGTTCTGGTTTAGTTCTGGTTTAGTCCTGGTTCAGTCCTGGTTCAGTCCTTGGTTCAGTCCTTGGTTTAGTCCTGGTTTAGTTCTGGTTTAGTTCTGGTTTAGTCCTGGTCTAGTCCTGGTTTAGTCCTGGTTTAGTCCTGGTTCAGTCCTGGTCTAGTCTTGGTTTAGTCCTGGTTCAGTCCTGATCGTCTCTGTCAGGAGAAATAAACTAAAGTCTTTTTTTTTTTTTTTTTTTTCACAATCGCTTCAGAAATCAGAGCCGTTTTTCCACCTCAAACGTTTCATCCGCTCGCTCGTTTCCGTGGAGACGTTACTGCTTTACCCGAAATGTCCCACAGTGAAGCTTTAAACGTATTTACAACCACAGAACGAACAGGGGTTAGGTTTTCAGGCTATTTCTGAACAAACAAAATAATAGACATTCCAAACAAAGCAAATGACATCTCCATGGCAACAAGCAGGTGCATAGAAAAGTTCCACAGTGCAGCTTTAACAGAATTTCCTTCTCTCGTAACAGATACAAGTACGTAAGAAGTACACGGACTGATTAAAGGTCACTGATACTTTTTTTTACCGCAATAATTCTGGTAATTATTCGTAAAAATATGTTAAAACGGAATATTCAAGTAGTTCTCAGTCGTGTGGGTTTATCGTTTCCACGGAGACGCAGTAAAGTCCTCGTTTAATGCGTCGGTGACTTTGCGCTCACGCTGCAAAGTCACCGTCCTCTGTCCCATAAACAACCACGTCCTGAAAAACGCGAGACTTTAAAAATAATCCTGAAACAAAGGCACAAACGCTGAATTTACACCAACGCAAAACAAAAAAAAGTGTGATTATTTTCAAAAGTCCCGTCAGGTTTTAAAATCAGAACGAGCTTCTCACCTGAGCACGATTCCTCTCTGGATACTCGTCTTCATCTTCTCCGTCAGATGTTCGACGTTCGCCTGAAAAAACAAAAGCGCAAAGACGAAAAGGAAAAGGAAGAGGATGAAGTGAGACGAGGAGCATAAACACTTTCTCTCTTTCTCTCTCTCCGTTCCTCTCGCAGTGTCACAGTATCACCACCAGATGGAGCCGTTTCACACACTGCAGGAGTCACATTCTGACCTGGACCTCCCACTTTACACAAGAACGTTTTAAAGTCAGAAAGTGCAGTCAAAAATTATCGTTACTTCAAACTATTTTTACTTAGCAGAGGTGGGGACTTGCAAATTATGACTTGGACTCGAGTTGACTTGATAAAATGGACTAAAACCTGGGACTCGACTTGGGACTTGAAGGTCAATGAACTCGGGACTTGACGCTTCTTCTAAAAAAATCTGTTTTTAGAAAATACTTTTCTCTTTACAGTTGATAAATGCGATGATGAATTTTACAGGAACAAACTGGAACATCCCATTTCTGTTTGATATTTTGGATGAAAACTGAAGTACTGCGATACTCAAAAGTACTACAGTAATTTACAGTACAATACAGTAAACCAGAGGGACCTACAGAGAACATGATCCTTCCATTTCTGAATTCTTTCTGTTCTGACGTAATGATTCACACTCAGATCTTGTCAAAACATTTAAAAAGGAAAAATGAGCATTTCTACGACTCAACTCTTATATAAATATTCATATAACAGATAAACCTTTCATACACCATGACTTTTTAAGAACAATTTAGTTTAAACGACTTGGACTTGACTTGGACTTATGGGCCAGTGACTCGAGACTCGACTCGGACTTGTCTGTATTTGACTTGGGACTTGACTTGGACTTGAGGTCAAAGACTTGAGACTTACTTGAGACTCGCAAAACAATGACCCAGTCCCACCTCTGTTACTTAGTACAAGTAAAGAAGTGGTCCAGGAAAGTCTGTATTTGTGGGAACTATTAATCAGTTACACAATTTTAGAGCCAGTCTGAGTTTGTCTCCAGTGGGTTAAAGTCCTCACTGTCACATATCTGCAGGACAAGCTCAGGTCATGACTCGGACAGGAAGTACGAGCACATGTGTCCTGGTGTCAGGTCTCTGCACTGCCCCCTGTGGCTCAGGTTTGGATCTACAATAAAACCTGGATAAGCCCCTCCCCCTCTGTCTCTAGTGGCCGCTCCAGGTACTGCAGCTCCCACAAAGAATTCTCCCTCAGAGCTCAAGTCAAACTGCCCGTGTTCTTCAGGGCGTCGACAACTTTCACAGAGGACGGGTTTTGTAGGATTCTTTTCTATTTTCACAACATAAACTTTTAAAAAAAGTTTAAATCATCAAAGCTCCTAAAAGTGATCTTTGTGAGACTTGACAGGAAGTAAATGTGGAAGAGAACTTTTTTTTTGGACCCATGAGCCGATGAGAACAGAAAACAACACCACTTCATCTTGAGTTCACCTTTAGATCTGATGAGAGCTCAGGTCTGTGGCTCAGGTCTGTGGCTCAGGTCTGTGCTCACAGTGTGTGTAAGTTCACAGTGTGTATAAGATCACAGTGTGTGCATAAGGTCACGTGTGTGTAAGGTCACAGTGTGTGTAAGGTACAGTGTGTGTGTCACCACCTGCAGGTCACAGTGTGTAAGGTCACAGTGTGTGTAAGGTCACGGTGTGTGTAAGGTCACGGTGTGTGTAGGTCACAGTGTGTATGGTCACAGTGTGTGTAAGGTCACCTGCAGTGTGTGTGTAAGGTCACAGTGTGTGTAAGTCACCTGTGTGTAACAGCACCTGTGGTCACAGTGTGTGTAAGGTAAGGTCACAGTGTGTGTAAGGTCACAGTGTGTGTAAGGTCACAGTGTGTGTAAGTCACAGTGTGTGTAAGGTCACAGTGTGTGTAAGGTCACAGTGTGTGTAAGGTCACGGTGTGTGTAAGGTCACAGTGTGTGTAAGGTCACAGTGTGTGTAAGGTCACAGTGTGTGTAAGGTCACAGTGTGTGAGGTCACAGTGTGTGTAAGGTCACAGTGTGTGTAAGGTCACAGTGTGTGTAACAGCCCCACCTGTAGGTCACAGTGTGTGTAAGGTCACAGGTGTGTGTAAGGTCACAGTGTGTGTAAGGTCACAGTGTGTGTAAGGTCACAGTGTGTGTAACAGCCCCACCTGTAGGTCAAGTGTCACGGGTGTGTGTAAGGTCACAGTGTGTGTAGTGTGTACAGTGTGTGTAACAGCCCCAGTGTGTGAGGTCACAGTGTGTGTAAGGTCACAGTGTGTGTATAGTCACAGTGTGTGTAAGGTCACAGTGTGTGTAAGAGCCCCACCTGCAGGTCACAGTGTGTGTAACAGCCCCACCTGTAGGTCACAGTGTGTGAGGTCACAGTGTGTGAGGTCACAGTGTGTGTAAGGTCAGTGTGTGTAAGAGCCCCACCTGCAGGTCGCGGATGTCAAACGGTTCTTCGTAGATATAAACCGAGTCGGCGCCGGCCGCCAGCCCGCCCACGGTTGCCAGGTAACCGCAGTAGCCGCCCATGGTCTCGATGATGAAGACGCGGCGCTTGGTTCCGCTCGCCGACTGTTTGATCCGGTCACACGTCTGAGGGGGTCAAAGGTCACAAAAGCAAAATCAGAAGAAAACACGAGGGTCGGTTTAAAGTCTGCGACGCAGAGCGGAGCTGAATCTGACTCATTTTCATTCGATTTGAGATTTGATTTCATGAAACCCTCGACTTGCTGCACAAAAACTGTTGAATATTGATTTATTTTAGTCAAAAACACAAATCTGAACTCGTCAGATTGAGCTCCGCTTCCTCCTCTGACCCCAAACGCTTCACCAAACCACAGACCATGCAGCTGTTCATGCTCCAAAATCCGTGTCGTTCATTCATTGGTTTTTCAAAATAAAACCAAAAATAAGAAAACGAAAAAACAACAATTTTCTTCATTATTTGTCTCCAAAACCAAAATAAAAAAAACAGATAATGATTGTTTTTTTTTTTTCAGTTTTCAATTTTGTGTTTAAATGAAAAATGGAAAAAAACGGATAACGACCGTTTCCATTTTACGTGACTTAAACTGAGATACCGGACTGAACCAGGACTAAAACAGGTCCAGGACCAGATGGGGACTGAGACCAGGACTGAAACTGGGACCAGACCGGAATTGAGATCGGGACCAGACCAGGACCAGACAGTGATTGAGACCAGAACTGAGACTAGGACCAGACCGGGACCAAACCAGGACTGAAAACGATTTAGTCCTGGTTTAGTTCGATTTTAGTCCTGGTCCAGTCCTGGTTTAGCCCTGTTTTAGTCCTGTTTTACTCCTGTGTTAGTCCTGTTTTAGTCCTGGTCCAGTCCTGGTTTAGTCCTGTTTTAGTCCTGTTTTAGTCCTGTTTTAGTTCCTGTTTAGTCCTGTTTTAGTCCTGGTCCAGTCCTGGTCCAGTCCTGTTTTAGTCCTGTTTTAGTCCTGGTTTAGTCCAGTCCTGGTTTAGTCCTGTTTTAGTTCCTGTTTTAGTCCTGTTTTAGTCCTGGTCCAGTCCTGGTCCAGTCCTGGTTTAGTCCTGGTTTAGTCCTGGTCCAGTCCTGGTCCAGTCCTGGTTTAATCCTGGTTTAGTCCTGGTTTAGTCCTGGTCCAGTCCTGGTTTAATCCTGGTTTAATCCTGGTTTAATCCTGGTTTAATCCTGGTTTAGTCCTGGTTTAGTCCTGGTTTTATCCGTTTTTTCCATTTTCCATTTAAAAACAAAATAAAAAAACTGAAAAAACAAATCATTATCTGTTTTTTCATTTTGGTTTTGGAGACAAATAATGAAGAAAATCGTTGTTTGTTTTTTTTCCATTTTCTTATTTTTGGTTTTATTTTGAAAAACGAATGAACGAACGACACACGGATTCTCCAAGCTCAGCAAACACAAATATTCCATGTTAAAGCTTTACGGTTAAAACTGGGATAATGCTTCAAAAACACTTACTGTCCACCGTGACTTATGATGAAAAATAAGAACTGTTTTTATTTATTTAGTGTACGATCCATAAACAAAACTCACCCGGGGCTAAGGACTGGCACCAAACATGTGAAAATTTACATTTATATTTATATTTTTGACAATAGTTCAGATTCATACAGACCTGAAGCACGAGCAGAACTTCACTCTGGAGACTTTTTCTCTGATTTTCAAACTGTGATTCTGATTTGTCTGTGACTCACGGCGCTCGACCAGTCAAAAGTCTGGACGCACTTTTTCATTTAAATGTTTTTATTATGTTTGTGTTTGTTCTGTGTTTTAATTGTGACATTTTAAATCACAATATTCATCTAAAACGACTTCATAAAAGAAACAAGTGCACTGATTTCCGCGTTAGAAAACTGTGGTGACGTTGTTTTATTTTCGCGTCTTTCGGTTCTAGAGTTTCAGTTTCGTCTCTCGTCTCTAGACTCTGTGTTTCAGTTTCATCTCTCGTCTCTAGACTCTGTGTTTCAGTTTCATCTCTCGGTCTCTAGACTCTGTGTTTCAGTTTCAGTCTGTCAGTCTCTCTAGACTCTGTGTTTCAGTTTCTTCTCTAGTCTGTCTCTAGACTCTGTGTTTCAGTTTCAGTCTCTCTCTAGTCTGTATTTCAGTTTCATCTCTCTCAGTCTTCTTCAGACTCTGTGTTTCAGTTTTCAGTCTCTCGTCTCTCTCAGACTCTGTGAGTTTCAGTTTCGTCTCTCTCTCTGTCTCTCTCTGAGACTCTGTGTTTCAGTTTCGTCTCTCTCTGTTCTAGAGTTTCTCTCTCTGTCTCTGTTTTCAGTTTCGTCTCTAGACTCTGTGTTTCAGTTTCAGTTTCAGTCTCTCTCTCTAGACTCTGTGTTTCAGTTTCTCTCTAGTCTCTCAGTTTCAGTCTCTCTCGTCTCTCTCTCTAGACTCTGTGTTTCAGTTTCGTCTCTCGTCTCTAGACTCTGTGTTTCAGTTTCGTCTCTCTCTGTCTGTCTTTCAGTTTCATCTCTCGTCTCTAGACTCTGTGTTTCAGTTTCGTCTCTCGTCTCTAGACTCTCTCTCGTCTCTCTCTAGACTCTCAGTTTCGTCTCTAGACTCTGTGTTTCAGTTTCATCTCTCGAGACTCTGTGTTTCAGTTTCGTCTCTAGACTCTGTGTTTCAGTTTCGTCTCTAGACTCTGTGTTTCAGTTTCGTCTCTAGACTCTGTGTTTCAGTTTCGTCTCTCGTCTCTAGACTCTGTGTTTCAGTTTCAGTCTCTCGTCTCTAGACTCTGTGTTTCAGTTTCGTCTCTAGACTCTGTGTTTCAGTTTCGTCTCTCGTCTCTAGACTCTGTGTTTCAGTTTCAGTCTCTAGACTCTGTGTTTCAGTTTCGTCTCTAGACTCTGTGTTTCAGTTTCGTCTCTTTCGTCTCTAGACTCTGTGTTTCAGTTTCGTCTCTAGACTCTGTGTTTCAGTTTCGTCTCTCGTCTCTAGACTCTGTGTTTCAGTTTCGTCTCTCGTCTCTAGACTCTGTGTTTCAGTTTCGTCTCTAGACTCTGTGTTTCAGTTTCGTCTCTAGACTCTGTGTTTCAGTTTCGTCTCTAGACTCTGTGTTTCAGTTTCAGACTCTGTGTTTCAGTTTCTGTCTCTAGACTCTGTGTTTCAGTTTCGTCTCTCGTCTCTAGACTCTGTGTTTCAGTTTCGTCTCTAGACTCTGTGTTTCAGTTTCGTCTCTAGACTCTGTGTTTCAGTTTCGTCTCTAGACTCTGTGTTTCAGTTTCGTCTCTCTCTAGACTCTGTGTTTCAGTTTCGTCTCTCTCTAGTCTGTCAGTTTCGTCTCTAGACTCTGTGTTTCAGTTTCGTCTCTCTCTAGACTCTGTGTTTCAGTTTCGTCTCTAGACTCTGTGTTTCAGTTTCGTCTCTAGACTCTCAGTTTCGTCTCTAGACTCTGTGTTTCATCTGTCTGTCTTCAGTCTGTCTCTAGACTCTGTGTCTGTGTTTCAGTTTCGTCTCTAGACTCTGTGTTTCAGTTTCGTCTCTAGACTCTTAGTGTCTCTAGTGTCAGTTTCCTCTGGGATGTTGCTGCTGATGGTGAAGGGGAGCATGCACATGGGCACACACAGCTCCTGGTACTGAGCCCGCGCCGCGTACAACTGCAGCAGAGACTCAAACGCCTGCGGGTCACACACACCGGGGGGCGCTACACTCACTGACCACTACACGGACAGCGGGGGGCGCTAGACTCTGGGATGTGCTTCACTGTTTCCTGTGCACAGAGGGACTTTGGCGTGGCTCACACTCGCCTCAGAGTCACGACCGGCGGATTTTAACACCACTAACCTCGTCGCGTTTGATTCGTTTATAAAAAATCCTGCGTATTTCAGCTTCAAAACACCGTTCCACCTGCTGATGTCATGAGGTGATGCTCCTCTGTGTTTTGGTTGATGATTTTAATGCTCATTTAATGCTTATTGTTACATCCCTATAATTGATTATTAATTATGTTGTGTTGTTACAAAATTATTACATGTGTCAGCAAACCTCGCTTGATAATTTAACACCTTAACAACGCTGCCCTCTAGTGGACGTCTGTGTGTGTTTGTGTGTCTCAGAAATATGTCACAGAGGGAATTCATGTCATTGGTGATCCACAAATGCGAATCACATTTTTTCACTTTTACAAATGTATTATTATTATTATTATTAGGCCCGAGCGCCGACAGGCCGGCGAAGGGGCTATTAGTTTCGCACAGCGAAACTCCAAGTGGCCGAAAAATGGCATGGCGCGACGTGACTCGCCCGTAGTGACCAGGGACCCTCGCCATCACGTAGCAATGCGCCTGAGGTTTCCGAAAATGTATAGTTTGTCGGCCAAAAAAAAGCGGAACATTGTTCTCGTACCGGAATATTATTCTTTCTTTCTTTCTTTCTTTCTTTCTTATTATTTTCCTCCTAACCAACTCACCCATTTTTCACCCACTAAACAATGACGAAAAGTCCTGAAATTTTGCCATCTGGTAAAACTCGCGCTTCCCTACGTTTTGGCTATTTCCATTTTACAAAAATAAATAAAATGGCTCGTCAGCGCCACCAAACCACTCAAAAATGCATTAGGGAATACGAATGACACAAAAAAAAACTTGCACGTACAATCATGAAATTTGACACAGAAGTCGATCATGTCAAGACAAGGAAAAAATATTATTACGCCAACACCGTGTGCTCCACTAGGGGGCAGCAATATTGGCTTAAAGTTTGCTAAGCTGTTACGAACTCCTCCGAGGGCGTTCACCCGAACGAGCTCAAATTTGGTCCACATCATCTCAAGACGTAGAACAATAAAAGTTATCCAAATTGTTCACACACGTCTTACGATCTCTGAGCAGTGAAGCAACAAAAATGCTCACAATTTTGGACATTTACAAATTGCTCCCATTTTGCTCAAACGAACTCCGATTTAAATGAAATTTGAAACATTTGTTAAACTCTCTGCCCTGAAGCTACTTCATGTGAAAATTATGAATTTGGTGCATTAGCGCCCCCTATAGATTGAAACGAAATTTAATATAGAAAAAAATCATTAGTTCCCAAATAGTTGCTCAAAAATTTCTGAAATTTTGCACAAAATTCCCTTTTGGCATCCTGATCCAAAAGTCAGTGACACCCATGTCATATTTTTTATGGCGTTGCCATAGCGATGGCATAAACTCTCCTTTGGTAAAATCTACAAATTCTGGCACAAAACTATGGCCGATTTCACTCAAATTTGAATCGTTGATTGACACTCCGACCCTGAACAGATTTATATAAGAAAATCTCAGATGGGCGCAATAGCGTCCCCTAGGGAAATTGCATGGTAGTGCAAACATTTACTTTGTTGTAGGCATATAAAATTTGGTACACAGATTCATGACATGGTCTTGATCAAAAAAGTCAATGACGACCCCATGCCATTTCCCATCGTGTTGCCATGGCGACAGGCCAAACATCTGCCCTTGCCAATAGGCCCGACAAAAACTTTGGTGTAGCCAAACCAAATTTGGTACACAGATGCATCATGGGAATAGGAACAAAAAAGTATATTATGCGGTTGCTAGGCAACCAACAGGAAGTCGGCCATATTGGATTGATCATGCGACCTGTCCTCGTACTTGAACCAACTCGTCCAAAGGAGTTTGACCCAGACAGAATCATTCTGTATCATCTAGACAAGTGGGACATTAAAAGTTGTTAAAAGCTTTTTAAAAGGTCACACGGTGTTGCCGTGGCAACGGTGCAAATTTTGGGTTCGTTTTTAGGGCTCACCATCAAATTTCAACGAGTAATAATTTGCACAAACTTTGACCAATTTCACTCAAATTTTAATCGTGACTTTACACCTCAACCCTGAACAGATTCATGTAAGTAAAGTGGGTGCAATAGCGCCCCCTAGCAATTTGCACAAACTTTGCCTGATTTCACTAAAATTTTAATCGTGGGTTCATACCCCAACCCTGAACAGATTGATGTAAGGAAATATAAAAAAGGGTGCAATAGCGCCCCCTAGAAAATTTGTATGTAAAAATAAGGTTTTATTTGTCACAGATATACAAAAGTTGGTATCCACATGCATCATGGCAATAAGAACAAAAATGTATATTGTGACCACGCCCCTTTACAAACCGGAAGTCCACCATCTTGGATTCTTTTTTTTTTGCCAAATTTTGAAAATTGCAGAAAATTACATTTAACATTTTTAGGTTCAGGGTTGGGGCTATGGTTAGGATTATGATTAGGATAAGGTTTAAGTTTAAGATTATTAGGGTCAGTGTGAGGCGCGGCGTTTGCGGGGGCGCGGCGTTTGCTGGGGCGCGGCGTTTGCGGGGGCGCGGCGTTTGCGGGACGCGGCGTTTGCGGGGCGCGGCGTTTGCGGGGCGCGGCGTTTGCGGGGCGCGGCATGAGCGCACGCGAGGGCCGATCATCGCCGCTTGCGGCATATTTATTATTATTATTATTCATTTATTTCTTATAATTTTTTATTTATTTATTTATTGTTTTTGCAAATGAAAAAAGATTTGTTACAAGTTAAAAATATTACATTTGCATTTGTAGATCAAAAACACATGAACAAAACAATGACTCTGTGCATCTGTGAATATTAAACCTCACACTCTCCTCGGCGTCACATTGACCCGAAGAATTTTTTTTTTCTTCCCGCTCTCTTGGGGCGGGTCAATCAGACCCTAAAATTTATTTTCAAATAAATTCGCGCCAGGTGAGAAAATACATTTTTGGGTCTGACTGATCTGCCCTAAGAGAGCAGGAAGGAAAAAAAAAAAATCTTTGGGTCAATGTGACCCCAGGGAGAGTGTGAGTTAATGAGGCAAAAGTGACCCCACACAGTATTTATTCACAGGTTATTTTATTTATTATTTTCTAGATATATAACCGTCCTGCTGGTGGCGCTGTGTTACAAACCGAGCCAGAGTCCCTTTTGTGCACATGGAAGCAGCTGCACAGTTTATCAGAGCGGAGACAGGGCGGCTCTCTTCAGGCTTCCCATTGGCCGGGCGGGCGTGTGGGCGGGGCATAGAGGAGACAGGGGCGTGGTCATGACATTAGGGGGCGTTAGGGGGCGTGGCTTTTGTCGTTTTTCCATTGGCTGATATGATCGGGCTCCGCGTTGACGTGCGACGTGACTGGCGCAGATAAACGCCGCCGCTGTTTTTCCATTGGCCGATACGGTTTGGGTTTGTTGTGGACGTGTGGTGCGATTGGTGCCAGTTCCTCAGAGACACAGACGCTTCACGGGGCACAGAGCACGAGGCACACAGGCAGAGGAGTCATGCAAAACACGCCATGCTGCGACTTACCTGAACCACCAAAACAAAACCCACAAACCACCAAACCAAAAAACAAACACCACCTCGGCCACTTCCTCCTCCACAACAAGCAGAGAGTAAAAATACACAGAAACACGGCTAAAAAATACTCAGAAACATGTCTAGTTTTAAAAATCTGCTCCAAAAACGTCCTCAAATACAAAATGAGTCTGACTTTTGTCCTCAGGCTGAATCACAAAACGGTGGCGCTTTTCTGTCAGCGCCGTTTCATTTACACGGACATCTCAAAGTCACGTTTTCAACACAAAATAATTCCACTTTATTTAAAATCTCCACCAAGTCTCGTATTTGTTTTCATCTAGATCAAGGTTGTTCTAAAACTTCAGGTGAGGTTCAGTTGTGTCACTGTTTTGTGGTTCAGTATTTGCTCAAATTTACTTTTATTATTGTTTAGTATCGAGGAATATTCTCATTTTCTTTTCAAACGTATAAAAAACAAACTTCCTCTGTAAAGTTCTGCTCAGTGTTCAGGGCTGAGGACACTAAACTATAAATACTAGACTATAAATAGTACTAGACTCTTATACTTTTACTTTTACTTATACTGATGGGAGATATTGGTAGTTTTGTGTTTAGTTTGTTGATTATAAAATCCTATTCACTTTAATTTATTTACTTTTATTTATCACTTTTTTATTTATCACTTATTTCACTTATTTTGATTTATTCACTTTCACTTATTTCACTTTTTCATTTTACTTATTTCACTTTTTCAATTTCACTTATTTCTCTTTTTCATTTTACCTATTTCACTTTTTCAATTTCACTTATTTCACGTTTTCATTTTACTTATTTCACTTTTTCATTTTACTTATTTCACTTTTTCAATTTCACTTATTTTATTGAACTTACTTCACTTTTTCAGTTTCACTTTTTCAATTTCACTTATTTTATTTAACTTCACTTTTTCAGTTTCACTTTTTCAATTTCAATTATTTCACTTTTTCAATTTCACTTTTTTATTTAACTTACTTCACTTTTTCAGTTTCACTTATTTCACTTTTTCAGTTTCACTTTTTTCAATTTCACTTATTTCACTTTTATTTATTCACTTTTATTCATATTTTATTCACTTTTCCTATTCAGTTTTATTTATCACTTTTTACTTATTTTCACTTATTTCACTTATTTTACTTTTCATTTATTCACTTTTATTCATACTCTTTTATTTCACATATTTTCACTTTTTCAATTTCATTTTTTCAATTTCAGTTTTTTAATTTCACTTATTTCACTTTTATTTATTCACTTTTATTTATTTCACTTTTTCAATTTCACTTATTTCATTTTTCACTTATTTGACTTTTATTTTTTCTCTTTTATTCATGTTTTATTCGCTTTTCCTTTTCACTTTTATTTATTCACTTTTTACTTATTTAACTTTTTCAATTTCACTGTTTCAATTTCACTTTTTCAGTTTCCCTTTTTTAATTTCACTTATTTCACTTTTTTAATTTCACTTTTTCAAATTTTACTTTTTAAAATTCCACTTATTTCACTTATTTACTTATTCACTTTTATTTATTCACTTTTATTCATATTTTATTAACTTTTCCTTTTCACTTTTATTTATCACTTTTCACTTATTTTCACATATTTCATTTATTTTACTTCATTTATTCACTTTTATTTATTCACATTTTACTTATTTAACTTTTTCAATTTTACTTTTTTAATTTCACTTTTTAAATTTCACTTATTTAACTTTTTGAATTTCACTTTTTTATTTCACTTATTCACTTTTATTTATTCACTTTTATTCATATTTTATTAACTTTTCCTATTCACTTTTATTTATCACTTTTCACTTATTTTCACATATTTCATTTATTTTACTTAATTTATTCACTTTTATTTATTAACTTTTTACTTATTTCACTTTTTCAATTTCACTTTTTTAATTTCACTTTTTAAATTTCACTTATTTCACTTTTTTAATTAAACTTTTAAAATTTCACTTATTTCAATTTTTGAATTTCACTTTTTAATTTCACTTATTCACTTTCATTTAATCACTTTTATCATATTTTATTCACCTTTCCTATTCACTTTTATTCATCACTTTTCACTTATTTTAACTTATTTCACTTTTATTTATTTCACTTTTATTTATTCACTTTTATTTAATCACTTTTAGGTGCTAACATATTTGTGAATAATGTTTAGTTCTATCTTAAAACCATTTTCTCTTTGTGCTTGTTGTGGAGGTGGGCGTGGTCCCGAGGCTCTGCTCTGATTGGCCGGTTCACTCCCCCGGCCGCTGCACTCTGATTGGTCGGTTGACTCACGTGCGTGATGGCGTTGAGGGCGGTGTCGGAGCCGATGCTCAGGTCGGACCCCGGGATGTTGTTGGATACGGTCGCCGGGACCATCACCATGGGAACGCACAGCTCCTCGTGCGCGTCCCGGGCGGCGGCGAGCTCCGTCAGGCCCACGTACGCCTGGGCGCCACGGCAACGTCGAAAGGGAGTTTAGAGAAAGGTTTAACGTGGAGTTTTACACGGGGCGTTATAATGGGGAAGGACATGGAGTTTAGAATGAAGTTTAGAGAAATTATGGGAGTTTAGACGGTGGAGATGTGATGGAAAAGGGGCACAGGGGAAGATCTGCCGAGGCTTCAGCGCTCTCGTTAAAGCAACACTGCGTAACTTTTTAGCTGGAGAGTCTGAGATGTTGTTTCGCCTCAAATGTTCCACAAAATGGTCTGAAACTGAAATATTTTTTGCAATAAAAAAACGTCCGTGCTGGAGCTCAGCGTGACCGTCCAGATTAAACTGATCTGTCCAGGTTACAGGTCAGGTCTGCGGAGAGGCGAGCTGGTTTAAAGGAACGTCTCCAAGGAGCCAAAAAGTGACGCAGTGGCCCTTTAAATGTTTCGGAGGAGAAGAGATGGAGTGAACTAAAGCACAAAAGTACACCTGCTGTTTCTCCTCCGCACACACAAGATTTACTGTAAACACAGAGAGAAGGAAAGAGGGAGGGAAAGAGAGAGAGAGAGGGGGAGGAAGGAAAGAAAGAGAAGGAGAGAGGGGGAAGAGAGAGAGAGAGAGTGAGAGAGTGGAAAGAGAAAGGATGAGAACGAGAAAGAGGACAGAGAGAGAGAAAGAGCGAGAGAGTGAGAGACAAAAGAGAGGTAGAGAGAAAGAGAGAGGTAAGAGAGAAAAGGATAGAGAGAGAGAAAAACGAAAGAGAGAGGAGAGAGTGGAGAGAGAGTGTGAGACAGAAAGAGAGAGAGAGAGGTTAGAAAAAGAGAGAGTGAGAGAGAGTGAGAGAAATGAGAAAGAGAGAGGTAAGCGAGAGAGACGACTGAGAGAGTGTGTGAGAGACAGGTTAGAAAAAAAGAGAGTGAGAGAGAGGCAAGAAAGAAAGAGAGAGAATGAGAAAGAGAGAGAGAGAGGACAGAGAGAGTGGAGAGAAAGAAAGAGAGGGGAGAAAAAGAGGGCGAGGAGAGAGAGAATGAGAGAGAAAGAGAGAGAGAGAAAGAGAGAGAAAAGAGAGAGGGGAGACAGAGAGTGTGTGAGAGAGAGACAGAAAGAGAGAGAATGAGAAAGAGACAGAGGCAAGAGAGAGGACAGAGAGAGAGAAGAGGAAAGAGAGGGAGAGGACTGAGAGAGTGGAAAGAAAGAGAGAGGAAAGAGAGAGAGAAAGAGGAAAGAGAGAGTGAGTAGAGAGAAAGAGAGAGAAAAGAAAAGAGGAAAAGAGAGAGAGGAGAGAGAGAGAGGAAGAGAGAGAGAGAATGAGAAAAAGCGGGAGGACAGAGAGAGAGAGGAGAGAAAGAGGAGAGAAAAAGAGTGAGAGAGGAAAAAGACAGAGAGAGAGGGTGAAAGAGGAAAGAGAGAGACATAAAGAGAGAGAGAGTTTATCCTCAGGGGGGTTTAGTGTTTGAGGAGGTCAGAGTGATGCATTCTGGGAAACACAGCTTTATTCCAGAAGGACTGGAGGGAGGGGTTTGTTTTGGGCGACGTGGAGCACCTACGGGTGACGATGGGGGCGGGGACAGGGGGGAGGAGGGCGGGGACAGGGGGACGGGAGCAGCCGATGGAAGAGAGCCAAGAGTAAAAAAAAACAACAGAACTAAACACAACAAACTCTGAACGAGAACTGTGAAATAAAAGAATTAAACATGAAGACAAAAGGAAAGTGTCGATGAAATGTAAGAACACGTTTCCATAGTAACACAAGTTTTTTTTTTAAAATGTGACCGACTGGACCAGGTTTGGATCTGAAGACGTTTCGCCTCCTGGAGGAAGAACAAACTCTGCGCCGTTGATCATTTCTGCATTAAAAAAAAGTCTCAGAAAAAAAAAACGAATGAAGCCCTTTTCACGCCGGATAAATCCAACCTTTTGCACGAGATCAGCAAAGTCCGTAAATTTGTTTATTTTTACCGACACTGACGTAGAGACTGAAAGAGAAAAGAAGGAAAAGAAAAAGATAGAAAAGGAGCGCAATTACAACAACAAACACTGAGCTGCAGATTCAAACGGGACGAGTTTTATCACCGGACGTGTGTGTTTGGAGAAATATCGTAGGTCATTTGCGGCGGAATTTTTACTTTACAAATTACAGACGTGGCGGATTCGCTCGGGTTTTACGATCTCAGGAATTCGCCAAAATTAATACAAATCACCAAAGGTCCACGGGTCAAACTGATCTTGTACGAATATAAGGTTTTAGAAACAGAAACGTGATGATTAAAGTCAAAAAATGATTTTAAAAACGAGAAGGAAGAAGGTTTAAAGTGACTCCCTTCATCCTCACCTCACCTGGCCCCTCCCGTCTCTCTCCTCTCACTTGACCCCCCCTCTTTCTCTCCTCTCACCTGACCCCCTCTCTTTCTCTCCTCTCACCTGACCCCCCTCTTTCTCTCCTCTCACCCCCCCCTCTTCTCCTCTCACTTGACCCCCTCTTTCTCTCCTCTCCTGGCTCTCCCTCTTTCTCTCCTCTCACCTGGCTCCTCCCCTCTTTCTCTCCTCTCACCTGGCCCCTCCTCTCTCTCCTCTCACCTGACCCCTCCCTTCTCTCCTCTCACCTGGCTCCTCCCCTTTCTCCTCTCACCTGACCCCTCCCCTCTCTCTCCTCTCACCTGACCCCTCCCCTCTCTCTCCTCTCACCCCTGGCCCCTCCCTCCCCTCTTTTCTCACCTGGCCCCTCCCTTTTCTCCTCTCACCTGACCCTCCCTCTCTCTCTCCTCTCACCTGGCCCCCTCTCCTCTTACCTGGCCCCTCCCTCTCTCTCTCCTCCCCTTCTTCTCCTCTCCTGGCCCCTCCTTCTCTCCTCTCACCTGGCCCCTCTCCTCTTACCTGGCCCTCTCTCCTCTTACCTGGCCCCTCCCTCTCTCTCCTCTCACCTGGCCCCTCTCCTCTTACCTGGCCCCTCCCCTCTCCTCTTACCTGGCCCCTCCCTTCTCTCCTCTCACTGGCCCCTCTCTCCTCTCACCTGGCCCCTCTCCTCTTCTCACCTGGCCCTCTCCCTCTCTCCTCTCACCTGGCCCTCCCCTCTCTCTCACCTGGCCCCTCCCTTCTCTCTCTCTCACCTGGCCCTCCCCTCTCACTCTCCTCTCACCTGGCCCTCCCCTCTCTTCTCTACCTGGCCCCTCCCCTCTCTCTCCTCTCACCTGGCCCCTCCCCTCTCCTCTCACCTGGCCCCTCCCCTCTCTCTTCTCTCACCTGACCCCTCCCCTCTCTCTCTTCTCTCACCTGACCCTCCCCTCTCTCTCTTCTCTCACCTGACCCCTCCCCTGTTTCTCTCCTCTCACCTGACCCCTCCCCTGTTTCTCTCCTCTCACCTGGCCCCTCCCCTCTCTCTCTCTCCTCTCACCTGGCCCCTTCCCTCTCCTCTTACCTGACCCCTCCCTTTTCACCTCACCTGGCCCCTCCCCTTTTACCTGGCCCCTCCCCTTTGTGAGAATACAACAGGGTCAGGTCGGACAGTCTAATTAAGAATCTGTATGTTGTTGTTTTTTTGCTTTTCTAAACGAATTTGCATATTGTTTATATTCACATTTTCCAGCGTGTTCAGCTTCAGAACAGTTTTTTTTTTTTCTCACACAGCGTAGAATTTCCAGTTGGTAAAATACAATATAAGTCTTAAGTTATTTCTACTCTGGACCCCTCCTGGACGACATCGTCTTGTTTCTAAATACTCTACGTGAAACTTTAACTCCTCCTAACTGTGTTTTAGAATCACATTTTTACTCCATCTGCATCTCTGGTGATGTTTCGGTTCAGAGAAACGCGACGGGACGAGGCGAAACGTCTCCAAACCCAAAGCGGAGCGCCCCCCGGTGGACGACAGAGGCGCGACGGTGTGATCTGATGATCTCTGTACCTCGAACCCTCCGATGACGAGCAGCGCGTTGATGTTGTGACGCTTCATCTGCTCCGCGATCTCCGGCAGGTGTTTCCCAGGCAGAGTCCTGCACGGTTTAACACAAAACACCGTCAGAGCTGAGTCAAAAACGCAAAACTATTCATCACATTTTTCCTCTTAGTCAATTTTTATTTTACTTTTAATCATTGCCGTTTAAAGGGTTCATATTACGCTGTTTTCTGTTCTGTTCTAATGTCGTTTCCTCGTCACAAACAGACCTGGAGTTGTGTTTTGTTTCATTCACACGTGTTTAACTCACAAACTCTGCACATTTAGGCTCTTGAGTTCTTCTCTCAAACTGAAAACACTCTGCTCCACCTTGTGATGTCATGTGTTAAAATGAGGTCAAATTAATTTTAAAAAAGTATTCTCTGGAACCACTCTGTGTCTGTGTTACAGACGTGGAGCAGACTTATGGAATATATCATATGAACATATTATAACTTGTACTAACTTGGTGCACTTAAAAAAATATATAAAAATCACAAGTAAAACCACGACTATTAACTCAAAACATGCTTTTCTTTAACATTACCTTTTATTTTTGTGCAAACCTGAATGATGAATTTTGTGCTTTCTTTGTTATTTTTGTTAGTTTGTACGACCATCAACAAAAATGAAACAGGCATCTTTAAAAAATGAAGATCTAAAGAGAAGAACTAAAAAAATAAATACATTTTTAAGTGACTGCATTTCTGTTCGAGGGTTAGTTTATGGAACAACCTGATAGATGATTTTAAAAAGTCTTTAAAAAAAGTATAAAGCATTATGTTTTGAAAGATATAGAGCTCTGGAATGAATTAATTATAATTATGCATTAAATATTATTTGTTTTATTTTATATTTTGTCTCTTATATTTACAGTAAGTCATAAGTGAAACTGTAAAAACAAACTTGCTGTCCTTTAACTTTTTATTTCAACCTAAACTCTTTCAGTCATCATCCATGGGGTTGTAGCTTATGTTTTGTTTTTTTTTTGTTTTGTAGTGCTGCAAAATGACCAAATAAAAAAGTACTACTAAAAAATTTTAAAAAAATAAAAAAAAGGAAGTGCTCCACTGTGTTTTTAAACTCCACACACTTTCACTAGAATCATGTGGAGCTCATTCATTTCAGTTCTGGAATTTCCAATCTTTCCAATCTCTCTAAGGTAAAAGGAGCTGTTTACTTGAAAACTGCCACTTAATGACATCACAAGGTGGAACAGAGCATGTGGAGCTTTGGAGATGTAGACAGACTAATAACAAAGAGTTACTCAAACATGTGAATGAAACAAACACAAGTCCAGGTCTGTTTTTGAGGAGGAAACATTAGAACACGACTTAAGTTCACAAGAGTTAATTCCGTGTAACACAAACACAAAAACAGAGGCATTTCTTCTTCCAAACAAACTTTTACTGACATCACTGACCTTTACAGTTACAGGACTGAATCTCCATAAAAAGTATTTAATAACCACTTTATTTGACCAAACGTGGACATGTGTGAGTCTCACCTCTTGGTCCCGAGCAGAGAGCCTCCCTGACCGGTCCAGCCCCCCACGTCTCCCCAGGTGATCTCTTTAATCTGAAATCAAGAGAGAGAAAAGTCAGAGCAGGACGGGACAGAGTTTAGATTCAGAGAGGATGTGGTTTGTGGGCGTGAGCTCTGCCACTGTGCCACCATCGAGCTTAAAAACACCATCCACAAATGTTTCTCTTTCTCTGTTTGGGATCAGCTCCACAAACTCCTCATATTCATCTTCTGGTCTAAAGTCTTTTCAGCGGAAACTCTCTCGTCTCCAAGTTGAATAACGGCTCCTGTCTCTGTCTCTGTCCCTCTCTCCCCGTCTCTCCATCCCTGTCTCTCTGTTTCTGTCTTTCTGTTTCTAACTCTCTGTCCCTTTGTCTCTGTCCCTGCCTCTCCATCCCTGTCTCTCTGTTTCTCTGTCTTTCTGTTTCCTAATTCTCTGTCTCTGTCTCTGTCCCCGTCCCCTGTCCCGTCCTCTGGTCCCTGTGTCCTCTCTGTCTCTGTCTCTTGTCTCTCTCTGTCTCTGTCCTGTCCCCTGTCCCGTCCTCCCTGGTCCCTGGTGTCCTCTCTGTCTCTGTCCTGTCCCCCTGTCCCTCCTCTGGTCCCTGGTGTCCTCTCTGTCTCTGTCCTCCCCTGTCCCGTCCTCTGGTCCCTGGTGTCCTCTCTGTCTCTGTCCCCGTCCCGTCCTCTGTCCCTGGTGTCCTCTCTGTCCCTGTCTCTTGTCCTCTCTCTGTCCTCTGTCCCCCCCTGTCCCGTCCTCTCTGTCTCTGTCTCCGTCCCGTCCTCTGGTCCCTGGTGTCCTCTCTGTCTCTGTCCCCGTCCCGTCCTCTGGTCCCTGGTGTCCTCTCTGTCTCTGTCCCTCCTGTCCCCCTGTCCCCTCCTCTGGTCCCTGGTGTCCTCTCTGTCTCTGTCTCTGTCCCCCTGTCCCCTCCTCTGGTCCCTGGTGTCCTCTCTGTCTCTGTCTCTGTCCTTGTCCCTGTCCCGTCCTCTGGTCCCTGGTGTCCTCTCTGTCTCTGTCTCCGTCCTTGTCCCCTCCTCTGGTCCCTGGTGTCCTCTCTGTCTCCGTCCTTGTCCCCCTGTCCCGTCCTCTGGTCCCTGGTGTCCTCTCTGTCTCTGTCCTCGTCCCCCTGTCCCGTCCTCTGGTCCCTGGTGTCCTCTCTGTCTCTGTCTCCTGTCCCTGTCCCGTCCTCTGGTCCCTGGTGTCCTCTCTGTCTCTGTCTCTGTCCCTGTCCCGTCCTCTGGTCCCTGGTGTCCTCTCTGTCTCTGTCTCTGTCCCTGTCCCGTCCTCTGGTCCCTGGTGTCCTCTCTGTCTCTGTCCCTGTCCCGTCCTCTGGTCCCTGGTGTCCTCTCTGTCCTGTCTGTGGTTATTTTCAGAGACGTGTCTTTGTGTTTCTGAGAATAGCCGTTGCAGCTGTGATCGCTCACACTCTGATGGAGACGAGGGACTTTACACACTCGACCCGACACACACTGTACACCACTGTATCTGTGTGTGTGTGTGTGTGTCTGTGTGTGTGTGTGTGTGTGTGTGTGTGTGTGTGTGTCTGTGTGTGTGTGTGTGTCTGTGTGTGTGTGTCTGTGTGTGTGTGTGTGTGTGTGTGTGTCTGTGTGTGTGTGTGTGTGTGTGTGTCTGTGTGTGTGTGTGTGTGTGTGTGCTGTGTGTGTGTGTGTGTGTGTGTGTGTGTGTGTGTGTGTGTGTGTGTGTGTGTCTGTGTGTGTGTGTGTCTGTGTGTGTGTGTGTGTGTGTGTGTGTATCTGTGTGTGTCTGTGTGTGTGTGTGTGTGTGTGTGTGTGTGTGTGTGTGTGTCTGTGTGTGTGTGTGTGTGTGTGTGTCTGTGTGTCTGTGTGTGTGTCTGTGTGTGTGTGTGTGTGTATGAGTCATGTGTGTAAATCCCAGACTGTTTATATAAGTGGACATAGTTGACGTTCCATCCGTCGTGTTCCAAACAGGAAGTTCTCATATGGCTCCTCTGGCTCCTTCTGACTCTGACTCCCATTGACTCCCATTAGAATGACGTGGCTCCTCTCTCTGTATCTGCTGCTGTGACCTCGACATTTTGGTTTTAAAATGTTCATATTTACCTACATGATCCCGGGTTTTTATTTCTTTTTTTTTATTTCTTTTTTTTTTTTTTGTTTGTCCATTAAAAAAATTCCTGTTTCTAACATCGAGCCTGGCCCCAAATTTGCCCGTGTAACCGTGAGCATCTTTAGTTAAATCCATAAATTGTACAAAAATGTGGACTAAGTGAGCGTGACATCTCCGTTGCCGTGGTTACGGGAGCGAATCCGGAAGCCGGTCAAATTAATACGAACATTTTTTTAAGACCAAAACGCCGACGCTCACAGCAGCGGGAGCAGAGAGAGAGAGAGAGAGAGAGGAGCCACTGTATTCTAATGGGAGTCAACGGGAGCCAGAGTCAGAAGGAGCCAGAGGAGCCGCCCGGAGCACTTCCTGTTCGGAACGTGACGAGGAGCACGTTGGATCCGTCCGTTTATATTTACGGTTTATGTTTGAGTGGAGCTGGTGTCACACTCACTTAGTCCACGTCTTTATATAGACTATGGTGTGTATTGTGTGTTTGGGTGCATGTGTGTGTGCGGGGGTGTGTGTGTGTGTGTGTGTGTGTGTACGTGTGTGCGAGTGTGTGTTAGGGTCATGTTCTGTCTCCTGTGGACAGTAGATGAAGAGGTGTGAAGCTGTGGGACCTGGTGTCAGATCCAGGCCCAGAGACGAGACCGAATTGTTCAGATGAAGGGACAGGGAGGGGGCGGGGCTTTGGAGAGGAGGGGGCGGGGCTTTGGAGGGGGGGGCGGGGCTTTGGAGAGGAGGGGGTGATACTCGAGTCCATGATCTGTGTCTGAGGACGAGAGGACAACATGTGTCTGAATAAACCTCTGCACTCTGTCCCTGTCACTCTGTCACTTTGTCCCTGTCACTTTGTCCCTGTCACTCTGTCCTGTCTGTCCTGTCACTCTTTGTCCCTGTCCCTGTCACTTTGTCCCTGTCACTCTGTCCCTGTCACTTTGTCCCTGTCACTTTGTCCTGTCACTCTGTCTCTGTCTTTGTCCCTGTCCTCTGTCCCTGTCCTCTGTCCCTGTCTCTGTGTCTCTGTCTCTCTGTCCCTGTCTCTCTGTTCTCTGTGTCCCTGTCTCTCTGTCCTCTGTCTCTCTGTTTGTGTCTCTGTCTCTCTCTGTCTCTCTGTCTGTCTGTCTCTCTGTCTGTGTCTCTCTGTCTCTCTCTGTCTCTCTGTCTCTCTGTCTCTCTGTCTCTGTGTCTCTGTCTCTCTGTCTCTGTCTCTCTGTCTCTGTGTCTCTCTGTCTCTCTGTCTCTCTGTCTCTCTGTCTCTGTGTCTCTCTGTCTCTCTCTCTGTCTCTCTGTCTCTCTGTCTCTGTCTCTCTGTCTCTGTGTCTCTCTGTCTCTGTCTGTCTCTGTCTCTCTGTCTCTCTGTCTCTCTGTGTCTCTCTGTCTCTCTGTCTCTCTCTGTCTCTCTCTGTCTCTCTGTGTCTCTGTCTCTCTGTCTCTGTGTCTCTGTCTCTCTGTCTCTGTCTGTCTCTGTCTCTCTGTCTCTCTGTCTCTCTCTGTCTTGTGTCTCTCTCTGTGTCTCTCTGTCTCTCTGTCTCTCTGTCTCTCTGTCTCTCTGTCTCTCTGTCTCTGTCTGTCTGTGTCTCTCTGTCTCTCTTGTC